GATCTCAGCTCACTGCAACCTTTGCCTCCCAGGTTCAAGCGATTCTCCTGCCTCAGCCTCCCGAGTAGCTGGGATTATAGGCACGCACCACCACACCTGGCTAATTTTTGAGCCACTGAAATGGGGAAGATGGATGGAGGTTACAATGCACTTACCATCTGCAGCACCTATTTTTCCCCCTCCAAGTTGGGTTGACTGTAAAGTGAACCAGTTCTGATCCTATAGAGAAGTCATCGTGAATGGTAACAATTTTTTAAAAATCCGCTTGCTTTTCAGACTCGGGATATAAATTAAATTAACAACAACAAATAACCATGAGTCCAGAAGTTGGCCCAAGATTGACTTCACCAATCTACAAGTTAACCATTTGCACCTCTTCTTTGATAGAGGCCAAATTCAACACATGGAGTTCTGAAATTATTCTAATTGCAGTTTTAAAAAATATATTTTGTTAATGAAATTTAAGTCAATCCTTTGCGGAGTTCCAGAGGCACTTCCAGAAACCTCTGTTGGAAAGCATTGTTTACCCAAGCTAGCACTACAGAGTCCCCTTTCCCCCAACCAGAAACTTGAAACTTTCTCCTTATTTCCCGCGATCCCTCGTTTTTCTATCACGGATCTGTCCGGCAGACAGCGGTCAAGTTTCTTTGAGCGACAAATAGATCCACCCGCTCAGGAGAGTGCCTGTCCCCGCCCCGAACAGGTTGATTGGCAGGCCACGCTCGGAGATCCGCCAGCCGCGTAGCCCAGCTTCGTGAGAGTCCGCCCCGTCCCGCCCCGTAGGTTTGTTTTGGCTTCAGCTGCGCGCTGTGATGACGCCACGACGCTAACGCCCGAGAATGGCGGCAGCGGCGGCGGCGGCGAAGTCGGTGGCCGCGGCCACTGCCTGGAGATGGCCCACAGAGCCACCGAGACGCCGAAGAGCCCGCCGCCTGCGCGAGGTGAGGCGGCCCGGCCCAGGACGACGGCCCGACGGGCGGGAGGGGCGGCCGAACTGTGGTCGTGGTCGCTTTCTGGCGCACCGGGGCCTGCCCCTGGTCAGCCCGCAGCGTCGGCCCGTGTCCCATGCGCCAGGGCCTACAGGGTTGGAGAGCAGGTCGGGCGATGGCTGCTCGGGTCCCCGGCGTCCGAGTTCGGACTGGCCTCGGAACGTGCTGTCTTGCTGGGTATCCCGTCTCTAGGCCCGCGTGGGCCTGGTGGACGTGGTCGGTTGCCCTGCCTGCTTGCTGTTTAGCCGCCCCGCGTCCAGAGCGGGTCAGGTTGATCCAACCTGGTTGTCCTTGTCCTTACTGCCTTCTCGCGCCCGGCGCCTACTCCACACTCCTCCTTTGCATCTGCCAGGGGCCGGCGGGGCAGCTGATAGCTTCCTTGTGCAGGCTGGGAAATAGCAGGTTTGAGCCCAG